CAAAGATAATTGAAGATAACAATCTTGGTAAAGCCTTCGACAATGTGACATGCTAACGTTTTTGAGTAAAACTGGAAATTTCCGGCATCCGGTCTTCTCTGCTGGTATTTGTCGGGTCCCAATTACCCAACAGCTCTCAGAAGGTAAATATTGGTAACTGTTACTCGATCCCTTGCTCGGTCACCGACGGCGTACTTTGAACCATTATTTTGCGTCCGATATTCTTCATCCTCTCCATCAGCAATATTTGATCAGGAGTCACATATTCGCAAGAAATCACTCACACTGGTGACCATAATTGTGTTTGATTCATTTTCTACTGACATTGCAAATGCATGCGTTAAAAATTAACTGCGATCTATTATGCATGTGGGAATGAAGCAGAACTTCGTTAATGCATTTTCATGCGTTTCGACCCCCCCCCCTTAGTTTCCCGGTTCCATGTATCAAAATAACTTATTCTTAGGATGCACCACCAACAACGACTTAGGTCTAACTTAGGCAAATAAGCTGCCTCACCCCCTCATTCGTATCGAATTTCTACGGAAGCTGAGCAGATGCGTGGTTTCCCATTAGATGATTTTTCTTGCCGGAAATGAGGCTAAGAATTTACTACACGTCTGCTCTTCTCCTTCTTGAATATTGTTGTCCATCCTTCGGTCTCCTGGTTTCGGGTGACCACAGGATAATCGATAATGTTCAAAGATTCCTTACTTGAAGACTTTCCTCTCAAGTTTGATCTGGTATCTCTTATGCTTATTGATGTCAGTTCACGAACATTAAGTTTTTTGGCTAGAAAACTCAATGCTGGCCCTCGCTTTTTGTTTCACACTAATTCTAGCTCAAATCTTTCACGTACTGAGGCTCTTACTACGATAGATTGATGTTGTGCCGCACGCAATTCATCAATTATGATTCGGCAGCCTCTATTTCCTACGTCTAAACGCCTGCTCTGTTCGCATCTAAATATGTCTTTCTTTGGAGTAATCCTTCACTATAACTTCGGTCGAGACGTTAATTATGAAGTTGACATTACATGAGCACGTTACCACAGAAGATCTAAAACCACTCTTAGCCGTCTCACTCCATAACACTCAGCATCTATATTTTGATGAGAGTCCTCATGGAATTTAAGGGCAGATATTACATCCATTTCTTGTTCATTTGAAGACCACCATTTAAATTCGTCCAATCACATGTTTTTAATTGAATGCTAAATCCACAGATATTATCCCCGATGATCATCGCGGCATTTGACGTACCCCTCGCGTCGATCTTAATCAAACTATAGGCGATCGCATTGGTGTTCCCCGTCACAGCACATTAACGGTTGTTTCTACGGCCATGTGAGGTGTAATATGATCACAGCTACAGCGAATAATCTCAGCCCGTTAAGGAACTCTCCCTTAACGTGGAACGCCCCAAACCCTTATATACTCTCATCTGTGTAATGGCTCTGCGGCAAACGTATATCGCCTTCCCATGAATAATAGTGTATTTACCATTGAGAACTGTCAAACCATATTCAATTTATTTTCTTCTTGACCAATTATAAAAGGAGTTTTTTAGAGTTGCTTATAATCTAAGTACCTGACTGCCTACACAAATTGAACACTGTGAGGTTTGACTAACCGTTATGAGATTCACTCGTGAACGACGCCACTAAATTTACTTCAGATTTATGATGACAGCAGCATCATGGGCGCTAGACAAAAAGTGATTTAGTCGTTTGCTTTCAGACAACACCACTACCAGCGACGAAATAGCGAACTGAATCTGCGAAGGTTACTAGGCATTTGGCTTGCTACAGGTCTCAGTCGGGAAGTATGAGGTCTCGGCCTCAGCATAAAGTTTGAAATTTACAAAACGGTAATCCTGATAACGCTAACCTATTGGGCGAAAAATAAACGTCTTTCCTAAAACGGCCGGGAAGTTCAATTACTGCCACCTAAGCTGCTTCTGCAGAATAGCGAAATTGGGATGTAAGAAAGGACCTCTGACACAGCAGTCTGGGAAAGGACCAACATCCTCCGTATCCACGCCATGCTGAAGCAACCCACAATCCGATTGCGCGACTGTCTTCATTGGGTGGAGAATGAGCGCCCGTTCAGTCAAGTTATCCACGGCGACATCTATGTGGCTCATTGGGAGGAGAAAGACAAATGCTACGTCACAATCACGACTTAGAGACATGCCTCAAACATTCTCAGGCAAATTCGAAAACCTCAAAGAATTTAGACCAGGATCGACCGATCATAAGAAGAGCAGCGAGGACAAAAACAGATGTCTATGAAGCCGACCGGATCTTCACGGCCAAAACCAAGGAGCGGCAAGCAATTCCTAAGTCTCCGGGGCCAACACCCACAACACCTGGCCCTCTGCATCGTGTCCACCTTGCAATTGGACATCTTCGACATGGATCGGTGACGTCCGACATCTCTGGACCCCCACGCAATAACAGCATGGAAACTCTCCACATCACCTCCCCTGCTACCCCTAGCGCAGACTCCACGGCAATGACCATTGCAGGCACTGCTTGGCGAACTCCGATATCCCGCCGTTTATCATCCCCTTCACCGTCAATACAGTAACATTCGCGACGACGGTGACAACAACAACTACCTTACTCATACCACCACCGATGAGGTCAATCACGACACCTCAACAACCACCAGCCTCACCCTTAACAACGCTGCGCTACCACCAGCCTGGCGGACTCGATTCCAACGTGTCTTCAGTGTGGTCGCACACTTATATTACGCGTAGTCCGGACTCGTTACTTGCGAATCCATCGCACTGAGGCTATGGAACCAGTTACCGGAACCGTTATATATACCTGTCAGGTCAAGGTGGTGGATGACTTGAAGATTCCTAAATCAGAAGGCAGGGGAGACAATTAGATAGACAAATCCTTTCTGAGACAGGGAGTGTACAGGCACACAGTTTTACGTAATGTGCTCACTGGGCAGGTGAATGTCGTTGAGGTTATTGGGTTCCGGTTCCGACCGTGCATGCCTTCGTCTGAGTTGATTCGGCCGGCAAATTACAGTCTAGCATCAACTTGCGAGAGGCCGAAGCCAATCAGTACGGTGCCTTAGATGCTTGCCTACTGGTGGACACAGCTCACACAAAAGCATACGTAATCAGCGCCAGGGCCCAATAACCACGACGATATTCAGTTTCCTAATGGGAACGCAAGGGAAAACTGCTTATGGTCCTTCCTCAGTAAAGGCTTGTCCACCTGTCTTCTCGCCTACTCACTTAGTAATCTACAAATTGTCGGCCTTTGCTCGTTAGCGAAGTGGCGACATCCTCTGAACACCAGATTTATTCCTCCCCAGCCATGCACTCTTCGGGCGCTGACAATGACCAAATGTCCATCAGAAGTGCGGCATATATTAACACCGCTTTTGACCTTTTTTAGGCGTTGAACTCATCCATGTGGTACACTGTCTGAAAGAGGCGCGTGACTTCTTCAAACTATCCCGTTCCACAGCTTACAGTCTATTAGCTTATACTGCGTCTCATATCTCAAACAGGAGGTCGCAGCCTCTTTTAGCGGCAGAGAGCTTCCCTTTCATCTCGGAGTGCATTGCGGTCATCCAACCGGCAAGTTCAGCCCACTTCTTCAACTCAAAATAGCTTAATTGCTACTCGCCAGTACAATACCATAATTCGTGTCAGAGATCGTCGCTACTGCTCTCTCTTACCCTTTACCTCGAAGCGAAGTCGACGGATGGACGGGTCAGTCCGAACTTAAGTGCAGCCAAACGCCCTAGCTCATGCGTCTCTGGGCATACCTTCTACGTATGCAATAGCTTGCCTCGCGGGCGTTTTCTCGTGGACAGAGGAGTCCAGGTCAGTAAGGTCCCTCCAAATCCCTCTTACCGCCGCTATCCCAACGTTGGCCTTCATTTCCAAGCTCCGCCCTATTCACCTATTCCCATGTTTGGCAGGTTGAGCCTCACCCTGCATATTGGTCTGTGTCGACCATTCTCATGTATTTTTGTGATTGCCGATGCCCCAGCGCAATCATCCGCTCGAACCTCCTAGCCGAGTTTAGCTTCCTTGCGAACTGTCGGTTTGTCCAACTTCTCGACTGCACGATTGGCCTGCTTGCTCGTGGGTCCATACCCTTCACAACCGCATGCAACTTGTGTGTCCGGGATACACATATAGCTTGCTCTTATAGGGAGCCTTTCTTCCAATATCTGAATACCACCAACGATCAATTCTGAAGTTCCAATGCCGAACGCGGTGCTTCGCATCATATCCCCACCTCAGGCCCTCCTGTGTTTCCTCTGCCTGGACGACTGGCGTCGGCGCGTCGGTAAGTCCAAAAGGGGTTTGGACACATGCCCCAGTTGGACATGAATACTGAGAGTCCTAGAGCGTCCTTCTTGTACACGCAGCCTTAGGCAACATGAGTAGATGGACGCGCTGGCAAACGCGGGAGCAGGCTGTCACGCACCCGGCGTACACTCCTGAATTATCCACAGAACCCACGAACATTGAGACATCGCATGTGTCCTGCGGGCCACACGCACATCCACAATGCGGAAATTTCTGGCTGTACGACATGCAAAGTCACGCAGCACATCGAAATACTCCTTCAGATGAGGCACTAACAGCACTCCTATCATCAGTACTGCAACCGCCGACCGCAAGGACTTAAGCAAGTAAGCAACTATGTACCAAAACATATCGCACATTTTGTCGCTGCGCACGAACAACATTTATCGGCCTGGACTTGCATTTGCGAATCTGTGGCACGAGGGCTGGCCAGTCAGCGCCAGGAGCACCATTTTCCACCCGACTCACCCGCATCCATTGCTCATGCTGTTAATGTGCATTCAACCGTTACATGGACTTACTATGTAATGCACCAAAATTTAAATCCCACGAAGACAACTAGCTGCAGCAGTCCATAAAAAGCATACAGACGGGTCCATGATCACCCGGCACAGGGGCGGAACATGCGAATATCACATCAGGGAGAAGCATGCAACTTGTTATGATCTGGTGTCCGGTCAGGTAGTTGGTGCTGCACTTCCGTAGGCTGTCAAAGTCCATGCCGACATTGTGTCCAAATCCAGAACCTAACAAAGGACAGATAAGAATAGTCGACTGGTGCACGGGAAAGGAAAGGAAGGGTGGGATCGGCTCTGGGTATTCTATCCCTACAACACTTCAGCGCATTCTCCAGTTCAATAAACTTGGTGCGTCTGCATATAACAAGATGAGCTGAATGCCCGAAGGAAGCCGACGTAAGGCACAACTATGCCCACGCGGCCAACACCATGTGTGAGGTGGTTTGCTGGATAACTGAAAACTTGGTCCATTTTGCGAGGACCAGGTTGTATGCGACACGCGCAGACGGGCTGATAAGCTTTGTCACCTGCTGAGGCCGAGCTTGGCTCCGGCCGTCCTGACTTTTTTGCTGCTGGATAAGAGGAGGAAGTACGATGGATGCCGCACAAGTTTACTTTTGCAATAAGCCAGTTCACAAGAAAGTCACCATTCTCAAAGTCCACAGTAGACATTATTGCATGCGATGGCCGAAATAACATGAAAGTTCTCGCTTAATAGCTTGTGCAGATCCGATTCCAAGTCTTAGTGAATCCATATGGATGAAACTTGTTTGTTTTTGCACGGTCAGAGAGGTCAGGTTCCTAGCGTTGCTTTGCCCACCTCACGTACAATCTCGGACCGTCTTTATAAAATTCACAAGAGCACAATTAGTAACTCGGAATTTTGAAAATTCGACGATGCAGCATTTGGTCTTTGAATAGATCAGGAACACGCTGACTGGCGGTTGTTTCACCATAGTCATCTGAGGCGCTCCCGGTTCGAATAAGTGTCAACTCTGGTGGTAATCGTCCGCGCACTATCGCAGCTCTACTTTACGTTTACATGCTGTTAGCTGATTGACTTTTCTCCGCATGCCCTCCTCAGTTCAATTAACTTAAACATTTTCGTCCTCTATGGATAGTGAAATCACACCACTGATTTTTTTACTTGGCGGATGTGTCCGTCTTCCATTTTTAATATATTCCCACTTATGTACAAACAACTGATATTGAGGTTTATAGACTAAGTCGGAAATTGTTTACTAACCCAGCTAACACATGCCCCAACCATGAATGTGGGGACAAACATTTGGTCTGTACCACGATGGACTATGCCGTGGCCCGACCCACGTGGTCATCAGTCTTTATTTTCAGTACAACTGATTGATACTGTCGTGGGTACGTGCCGTGCCTGGGTCACCCTTTTTTATGATGATCCACGCAAGAAACTGATCTACAATATTTATGATGCAAAGACGTATTGTATTATTTATCGTTTATGCAACAAGTAAGTGACGAACGGTCCCCCGGATGAACTGTGGTCACATCCGTCCCTTTTGGCTTATCCCGTACGACAAAGACATGTTCCAGCAAATATTTTTGACCCGTCATTATTCCCGCTAAGACGGCATCATCAACGTATCCGAAAACTTCAAAACCATTGTGTTTAATACACATCAGTCTACTCTATTGCACTCAGTAAGCTTAGTCTGTCACAGTAAGCCGTTCAGGCCCACTACCATGTTCTCAGCCAAAGTTTCTCTCGCTTTCCAGACTTTGTTGGGTTGTCAACTAAGTGTTGTGTTCTTGGAATCCATTTCCAATAATCAGTATTCTTGATCCGCAAATTTTCTTGTTGCAAGTTAGTTCTTAGCCTGTACTCTTCGTGGCTTTTCAGATATAATGGCAGGCGAGGGTGGTTTCGATCCCTGTGAATGTATTTTTAACCACGAGAGTTCGATGCAACGATTGTTGAACATGCTGCGCCAATCCCAGGCGTACTGTTCAGACGTCTCTTGCACCAATGATATGAACGAACTCCGACAAGGCGATGCGGGTGGAATGTCTATGGTTTTCGGGCTGCTCTTCGCTTGGATCCTGATAACTTTCAGCATGTTTGTTTATCGGGCGACACAGAGAGGCGTTGGTGATGCAAATAAACCGGACCGTTCCCATGTATGTCATTTTTACTTTAGTTTTCTCTATAGCGACTAGCAGGACGTGTGCGTCCTGCACGCTCATTGACTTATCCTTGTTGCTTTCCCGACTCCTTTTGTTTTTATCGTACTTAGGCGTACCCCGCTGTTTTATGCCTCTGATTGTTCTCTTTAAGTAGTTCAGTAACTATTACGGAAAAAAACAGCTTTGCGCAGTTTAGCCAAAATTATCACTGTCACCTGAATGCATAATTACTTTGGTGATTTTGGCTTTACTGGGGTTCAGGTAAGACGACTCGCCTGGTCTAAAACGTGGAGTGTTGGGGACAACGATAGGATATTATTCATGAGAAAAAAGATGAGCGAACACTTCGGACTCTAGAAAATCACATTGACCTTATCATGTTTACAGTTCCTCAGAGGTGTGTCCCGCTGAGGATTTTTGTACACGTCCACCTATTCGCGAAGTGGTGGCTAACGTCACTTGGACCTAAAATTTATTCCATTGCTCTTGTAGAATCCGGAGCCGGAACCGCCAGCGCTTTCATAAAGGCCGCACTGTCACTTTCGCAGAGCTGTTATCCTATTTTTGTGCTCTATTTGGTCTTGATTTTTATTTTCCTCTTCATGTTTTCCTCGTATAGGTGGTCCCAGTACATATATGTGTAAGCCTTTCATTCTTTCCTCCCACACACTTGCGCTGAAGAGATCAGTCCCTTGTGTTGGATTTTTCTTCCTGCCTTCCTAGTGGGATTTACTGGTGATATCTTTGCGGTTCCTGCTCTGCCTGACAAAATAAAGCGGCTCGGATTTGGGCAGGTGTGCATTTAAATTCCTTATTACCTCCGAGCCATCGGCTTTCTCGCAAAATGACCTAATTTTCAAAGTCACGACCGAGTCCAACGTTTTAACTATTCGACTGCTCAAAAGCGATCAAAGTCAATATACTTCCGAATATTGTTGTCCAGCAGAATATCGAGTCTCATCAGGCTCGGTTTTGCATGTAGTTATCAACCATCAACATTCACGGAATATTAATCCTGGAAAGAACTCACTCGTGACGCGTGTCTTCACTTATAGGCTTGTGTTCTTTAGACCACCCAGCCTGTTTTCGACCCTTTGTCTTAGTTTTAGATCCTACATCCAAGGTTAGATAATGCTAATGCCCTACAAAATAAGTTAGCGGATCAAACATCGGCCTTCGGGTCTCGCGGTCCTGTTATGCTGCATCTTTAGTTTAGCATGTCGAGTGTCCGTAATTTTACCGGATCGCCGCTGACTATGCATTGAATTGTCGAGCTGGGTCTGAATATTCTCCTGTTATATCGTTGAGACTGGCGTACGGACCAGATTCCTACACGAGTTTTTAGGCCTAACGGGGAGCATGTCTGTGGTGTATAGTTCTTTTTGATATGTTTATTGTCTTCAATGGTCGTAATGGTCCTACCCCTCGGCTACGCAGGCAGGGGACCGATATCAAGTATTAAGCCGCGTAGCATGCGGTCACCTTGCACTCCACTTTGTCAGTTCCCGTGGTGAAAAGGGCAGTAGTGGGAGTGCGCGCAGTCCTGTCTGGTCCTTGGTTTCGTCCCCTGTCACCGAGACCCCCCCCCCCGGTCCAGAACCTCATTCATTGTCCTGGAATCACTGCTCAATTACCGCCTTAGTTGGTGCCTTTGTGGGGCAGACTCGCGAGATCTGCGACCAACCACGCCTTGTTACTTAACCACCTATGGCTAGGTGAGATCGTTACTTAACAAGTGGCTTCCGTCAAGGCTGGTTCCACCGCGACCTGTTTTTAGCATTGGTTTCGCTCCTAAAGTTAGACTGGAAATGGGTTTGGGTGCAGTAATTAGTCCGGGGTAGTCCGTCCACATGTGCTACCCGTGAACTGGTACCTGTCCCAGACCTATGGGGGCACGCTCCCCACGAAGGCGAGACGTACATGCTCTTGCGTGCGACGACGCGCCCACCACACCACCGTCAAAGTGGGTAGCCTACATGCTGTCTGAGGTATGGGTGGCATGTAACTACGCGGATGTGGGACTAGGTTTGTGTGCGATCTAGGGTTTACGCCGGTGATGCGGGATTTTGTGATGAGGTACAGACTGCGTTTATTTGCTGAAGATCGTCATGCATATCCATATGCCCGATCGTCCCGAGGCAATGTAGGCAAGCGAGACGGAATGACAGATGTACATTAGAGATCCTGGTGCTGGTTCACCGGTCGGGACGACGTGTGACCAGGTGCAGTCGCGATGGGGACGGGTTGGAGCTGCCCACTGGGGG